ATGCCTTTCATGCGCAAAGGCCTGGTCTGGAGCTAAGGGACGGGTCTGCTACTGGGTTTTGGACCCACCCCTGGTTGGATAATGACACCATTCTTGAAGAATTTTCCTTGTGTGACCTACTGGATGAGAAAAATGGAGAGCGTGGTAGATTGGTCGGACGTCAATGGTGAGTGGGACTCTGAACGACTTAAAGCTTTTCTTCCTAACAAAATTATAGTTTGCATTGCAGGCATGGAAACTCCTAAAACAGGGCTGGGGGAAGACAAAACAATTTGCGGTGCCGAAAAGGATGGGAGATTCAGACTCCGCTCAGCCTATAATATAGTCATGGACGAGAAGGAAGAAGATCCGCCGGATGTGTGGAAGGACCTCTGGAGATGGCAAGGCCCTAATAGGGTTAAATTCTTTCTCTGGCTCATGTCACACGATCGCCTTCTTACCAATGCGGAGAGAAAGAAAAGACAAATCACTACCAATGACAAATGCAATTTTTGTGAGTACGAAATGGGAAGATATAACACATCCTTCGCAGCTGCAAAAAGGTGGAAGGAATAAACACTCATTTCAAGTCCAAAATTACAGAGAAGAACAATAGCATTGATTTCTAGTCTTGGATTAATAGGAATCTCAAAGTCGATGACGTTGGAGTCAACTTTGGTATTGTTTGTTGGATCCTTTGGAAGCATAGGAATGATGAAGTTATGAAGGTAGAAGTTTTTTTAAGAAAGTACGATCTGTAGAATACAAGCGTGGTTCAACATCCACCAGCAGACACTTAGATCAAATGAGCTATGTTTTGGACCTTCCATCAATCCACGCACATAGCAAGACATTGGATGGAAACCTCCAGAGGAAAGATGGGTCCAATTACAGAATGATGGCTCTGTCATTAGCAGTTCAAAATTGGCCACTACTGGAGGTCTAGTTAGAGATAGTCTAGGGAATTGTTTGGATGTTGATAACACCTAAAGTGGTGCTATTTACCCTTCATATTTAGGTCTGTTTCATGATAATTCGTGTGCATTATCGGAAGAATATCGTTGATTGCATCCTTATTCAATTCCTATTTGATTATGTTGTTATTTTATGGTGATTTAGATGATACATGTGAATTGGGTACGAAAAAGGTGCACAAATGTAGAAAAAGGGGCAAAAACAAAGATCATGGCTGAAGGAGTCAAGATCCCAGCCTTTAGAGCCAAGATCCCAGCCATGAAGAGAGGGAGAGGGAGTTACCCTGAGTACCTCTTTTCATCTATCGATTTTTAGTTTAGGGATCACCAACTGCCCACCTACTAAGTAACAGATTGACTAGACCGAGCCTAAGTAGCTTAGGATACCATAGCCCTTGGAATACGACCGAGCCACTTTACTACATCTCTAACTTGGTTATAATTGGCCTTGTTAGAATTGACTAGTGAGTGCGCTTCGACTTTATAAATTTAAAACTTGCACCCATAAGATGCCTTTGCTTGCAACCTTAGTGAGTGCTCTATCACTTGTGCAGAACTTAAGGGAGTTGCGGAAGGTCTCGACAGAGCATGACAAAAAGGCTATAGAAAGATTAAACTCAATCTGGATTCCATGACAGCGTTAGCATCATGAAAAATTGGATGGATGACAACCATCATCATGGACTCCTTGTTGCAAAGTTAGGGAGCTGATGAGTCGGGAGATGGAGGTCAAGGTTAGCCATGTTTATAAAGAGCAAAACAAGGCATTTGACTTCCTAGCCTCTAGAGGCCATTCTCTTCATTTTGGCATACATCATATCAGTGTATGTAAGCCTGATCTTAGACATTGGCTTTTGTATGACATTTTGGGATAACCATGCCCGAGTTTGTCACTTCCTCTAGCTGGCGGCCTGAGATCGCATCCTCAACAATTCAGAAAACGAGCGATGCCATTTGATTTCCTCAACCTTGTGCCCTTACTACAAGGCTGTCCTAGAAACAGTCTTGCATGTGTTGCATGACTACCCTTTTCACGGGTTAACTTGGTTGCAGGTCATTCAGCCTTCTAAATAACAGACATATTCGGACTTTCTTTCCGGGATTGGCTTTTGAGATATCTTTGACAGCAGCACACGAGCCTCATGTTTGACATTACTTGATGGTCCCTTTGACGGACCAGGAACGACCGAGTCTTCACGAGCAAAGTCATCTTAGCTGAAGTCTTTCTAGAGCGTGTCCAGGCATGGATTAATGTAGTGCAGACTATCATGGACAATGATAAGGCTATCCATAAGCCTAATCCGCCTGCTAGAATAGAAGAGCTGATCTCGTAGATGTTGCCTCCACCCGAGTGGGTCACTCTCACCTCCGACGCCTCATTCATTTCTGAATCAGGTCATGCAACGGGTGGTGCCCTGATTAGAGATCACACTGGACTCTGCGTTGCAACGTTTGTTATTAACCTCAGGATTTGCTTCTGAGTTGAGAAGTGTTGTAGAGGTACTTCAATGGGCTTGGGAACTTGATTATCGTCGAGTGAACGTTCAGCTTGTCTCCAGGTTCGCCGTGCAGATCATCTAGAGGCGGCATGGCGACGATCATCGACATTCAACAATTACCCAACTTTTCCAGACGATGTTAGAGAGTGGGATGTGTCTTTATCTCATGCTTCTAGAGAAGGTATTAAGGGCATGTTTGAAGGTTGAGATTCTCCAAATAGATGTAGTTGTTCAATTTGTGTATTATCATTTGATGTATTGATTCAATGCATGTATTAGAAAAATACTTTGTTTGGAGGGGCAATGATGAAACAAAAAGTAGGGTAGACAATCCCTTGTTAACAATCTCACCTTTTGATAGATATTTATAATCATTCATTTTGAGTGGTTTTAGGTGGGCCCAACAAAAAGGTAATATATGCATTTTAACTTAAAGTGAACCAAAAAAATGACTTAATCTTATCATTACATGTATTTGCTAAATACTTCACTTCAAATCTCAACCTCCAAACGATCCCTAAGTGTGTGGATTATATTGCTAGTCGAGGCCATAAAATGTCATTGGGGTTTTAGTCTTTTCCTTTTTCTAATCACACCCTTGTATCCTGAATTATGTACTACGGGCTCTCCGAACCCCATTTTGTTTTGAATCAAAATTTAGATGCTCTGCATTAGAGGTGGCAATTAGGATCCAAATCCATGAATCCAATCCAATCCATCCACCAAATTATTCACCTAATCCAATCCATTTGATCCAAATCCAATTGGATTGGTGGATTCATGGATCAATCCATGGATCCAAATGACAAATTACGATTTGGTACCTATATTTTTTATATTTTACATTTTGGTACCTAAAATTTATATTTTTATACGAAAAATATCATTGGAAAATTACATTTTGGTACCTAAAAATTTTCATTATGACATTTTAGTACCAAAACTTTTCAAATTTTACATTTTGGTCCAAGCCTTGGATGTCATTTGGATTCATGGATCAATCCACCAATCCATTTGATCCAATCCATGAATCCACCAATCCATTGGATCCAATCCATTTGATCCATGGATCCACCAATCCAATCCACGAATTCACGAATCTGATCCAATTGCCACCTCTACTCTGCATCCATTTATATATAGGGTAAATGACACATTTGGTCACTGAGATTACTAAATCGTGTCATATCAATTTTGGTCACTCGAATTACTGACACAGGTCACATTTGGTCACTCTTCTGTAGCCTCTGTCCAACTCCGGTCACTCGAATTATTGAAAAATGTCACATTTAGTCACTCGAATTATCGAAACTGGTCAAATTTAGTCACTCTCCCAAAAGTTTCCGTCCAACTACATTAATGGAGTTGGACGGAAACTGACGGGAGAGTGACTAAATTTGACCAGTTTCGATAATTCGAGTAACCAAAATTGATATTAATTTTTTCTAGTCGCTAAACATGACACAATTTAATAATCTCAATGACCAAATGTGTCATTTACCCTTTATATATATATATATATATATATATATATATATATATATATATATATATATATATATATATATATATATATATATATATAAAAGTGAGCCTAGCCCATGTGCCCCGTCTTAAACGTGTAAATGTTCAGATTAGTAACGGCCCAATTCGGGGGAGTTTCCCACTGACCTTGTATCGTCCTGACTCCTGCATCCTGAATCCTGATCCATCTAGTGCTTCCATCCCCTCGAGGCCTCGACACGGTCCTCGTCTCTTCCCTTCCTTTTAGGGGTGAACAAACACACCCGCAAACCGACCCACCCGTCCAACCCGACCCAACCTACCCGTATTTATCGCTAAAATGAAAGTTTTGGGTTGGGTGAGAGTTTTCTTTTGTACAACCCGCCTCTTTTGGGTTGGGTTTGAATTTTGGATTACACAACCCGTAGAACCCGACCCAACCCGTGTTCCAACTATTAGTATGAGTTTGGATCTAAAAAATATTTATGTAGTATATAGTCATATACTTATGAGAAAATTAAGATATTTCGTCATGTTTTTCTCTCATGGTTTCCCTAATCTAATGCATTCTTCGACTTAAAGTTTAGACATAAATTGAATGTAGTTATGATTCACGTAATCTTTTTTCTTGTGTAAAATTTTAATAGAATAACATATGATGGGTGCGTTTGTTTATAACATTTTTAGCCTATTTCAACAAATATCGTGAAAAAAAACAAGACATATGTTGAAGTAAATCACATTTTATTAAAATTTAAACAACATTTGTGAATTTTCATACCTTTCACCTTGATTCATTCGTTTGAAATTTTAATTAGTTATAAAATATTTTTATGATGTAGAATAATTATATATTTTATGTTGGGTTGGGTTTTTACTTAAAAATATCGCCAACCCGACCCAACCCAATTAGAAACAAACCGTAGGATTTAAATTTTTTTGAATGGGTTTGAGTTTGATATTTCCCAAACCGTAGTGCATGGTCGGGTGATTAAAATGACTAAACCCGAACCACCCGACCCATATACACCCCTACTTCCTTTCAATTCTCGCACCCAAACATTTTTTCTTTTCTGAATTCCTCCGTAACTCCACAACCTCAATTTCGTCTTTGATTAAGGCTTACAGCTACAGGGAGGAATGTCACTCTTGGGGTGATGCCGGACGGCGAGAGCGGTTGACGGAATTGCTATACCGAGGTCAGACTCTTGGGTTTGTGGCACATTCCGTGGGTGCGGTTCTCGGTTTAGGCATCAGAGGAGCTCGCACGCATCGTTCAATTTTGCGCATCTTTTATTTGACGAATTAGGGTTTCTTTTCCTTTGTTGTGATCGTGTTCTTGATGAATGGCCTAGTTAATGTTCTTAGCTCGTAGCCATCGAACCGTTCCGGAGCTAATTCTTTATTGTTCGTGTCTTTAGCTTTCACCAGTAGCCAATTACCTCCGCTGGTCGCATTTGTTTTGATCTTGAGATCGAAATCAGGCGTTACATACTTGCATTCTAATATGGATCCTCAGCACTTGGCAGAAACCCTCAAGTATGCTACTTTGTGGATTTTATTCTTTCTTAAACTGTTAAACCGTTTGAAAGTGAATCGGGTATTTCTGTGGTTTACATTGCCGCAGGCATTTGTCAAAGCAAGATGAGCTATTGAGGGAAGTTTTGGGTTCGTTGCAGGGTGAGCTGACCAAGCTCAAGGTCAGTTTAGCTTGTTACCTTGTTCTCCTATTATTTTCGTCTTAGATGTTGTTTTGGTACCGGCTAAAGTTGAACGTGAAGATGATTTCCTTGCTTATCTCGATCAAAATCTGCGAGAAGCACTTGACTTGGTCCTTGGATTCAGCTTATAAACTAGATGTCAAGCAAGGTCTTATCAAGTAGTAGGTATTGATCAACTTTCAACTGAAAAGGCTTAGGGTCAGAAAATTTGCTATGACTAGTAAGTACAGTAGGATGAAGTATAGTGGTTTGGCATTGCAGGGATCTGTGCCATTCATCTGTGTTTCTTTTCTCTTGGGTTAACCACTGAAAAATACCATGTTGATCTTGGTGCTGGTTGATTTTTGCAGGCCGAGGAGCTAATGCTGATGGAGAAATACAGTCAACTAAAGAATCCTCTTGAACTTATCATACGGGTATTATTGCCTGAATCTAAATTGCTGTTATTCCCTCTGTATTGATGAGTTTCTCCCCCCCTTTACTGGGAGAATCAAAGCGTAGGTTCTGTGCTGTCGTTCTCGTAAGTAGAAAGGATATTGCCCAAGATTGGCTTTTGGTCTCCATGGTGTTGGTTGTTTAGCTATGATTCATTTTTACCTTTCAGTGTGTCATCCCTTGCCTCAATGCTCAATTTGCTTCTTGTTGGATGTTTAGCTTATGATTCTTGTTTTTGGTAGAGCAAGGAGGATGGCAATGGACTTGATGGCGAAACTGGGCAGACCGAGGAGGACGGCAATGGACTTGATGGCCAAACTGGGCAGACCATTCCTTTAATTACATCCGGCACAAATGACTCTGTTGGTGATGAAGTAGATCACACAGCCACCTCTAACAAAGATAAGTAATCTCAGTCGTGAATTTATGAGCTTTCTGCTCATGTTCTTGTGTAAGAACAATTTTGTTGATGAAATTCATATGTACCGCTTCCACAAGTGAGAATTAAACGTCGCAACATTTTATCAAAGATTTGTATTTGTTGAAGAGGAGGAGAAAAGCCATGCATGCGAGACAGCTGATGTGTATCCCATGGAGCAACCCGTTACTGAATGATGATAGCGTGCTCTAATATAGTGCATTTGATTTTTCATGTCATACTGTGGGTTGGGTTTTTATGTAATGGGGATTTATTGTATCTATCTCGTCTTTCTTACATAATAGATATGCGCACGCTTGCGCTCCGCACCCAGTGGTATAGAACACTCTAAATGTGTTAGTATGAAATTAGTAAAATGTAACTCCCTAAACAGCAAGAAAAATCCGAAGTGTGGGAGAGCTCCAAAGTCATTTGTACGTATTCGCTGGTCAATGATGTTATGGATCAGAGGATGATGATCTACATATTTGGAGCTCAACAATTATTAATTAGAGAATTTACGAAATTGTGGGAGAGCTCCAAAGTCAAAATGTAACTCCCTAAACAGCAAGAAAAATCCGAAGTGTGGGAGAGCTCCAAAGTCATTTGTACGTATTCGCTGGTCAATGATGTTATGGATCAGAGGATGATGATCTACATATTTGGAGCTCAACAATTATTAATTAGAGAATTTACGAAATTGTGGGAGAGCTCCAAAGTCAAAATGTAACTCCCTAAACAGCAAGAAAAATCCCAAAAGTGTGGGAGAGCTCCAAAGTCATTTGTACTCGATGGTCAATGAGGTTATGGATAAGAGGATGATGATCAGTATATTTGGAGCTCGACAATTATTAATTAGAGGATTTATGAAATTTTTGCATTTGAAATGGAAAAAATCAATGAGAAAGAAGGTGGAAGAATGTAGCATCTGCTTCTGTGATTTCGAGGCCACTTCCACTATCTAAATAGGGAGCGAGAGATTTCTAAAATTGCAAAACCAAATGCAAACAAATATATCGATTTCAACACAACAAAAATATGCTTAGTGAACACAACATATATTTGAGGTTTTCTTCCTGATTTTCATATTTGAGTTTGAGTGAGAGTTATGATTAAAGATGTAAAATCAAATACGAAAAAATAGAACGATTGATCACATAACAACAAAAGTATGCTTAATAAATAGTAACGCATATTAGGAGAATAAACAAAACAAAATAAAAAAGATGAATTAATAAAAGAAGAAAATAGAGAATTGACAAAATAAAAGGGCTCACATTATTAATGCCCTCAAAGGGCTCACATAATAAAATAGAGAATTTATCACGTTTAAGGGCATGAAGTATACAAGGAAACCGTGAAATGTGTAAATGAAACCGTACATTTTGTGTCAATGTCACGTTTTCACTGTACACATCACGGTCGTGACGTGTGGCCGTGAAGATTGCACTGCGGGTAGAAATTTGAAGAGTGAACAGATTTCAAGGAGAGAAGAGTGTTAGAGAGAGATTCGAGTCTTCTTCCACATTCTAGATAGAGGAAGTGACTAACCAAGGAAGATTGAAGAGGAATTTACCTACCTAAGACTAAAAGAGGCCAGATTTCAACTTCAACACCATCCCAAGCAACTAGGAAGAAGGAAATTCATCTTTTCATGGGTTTTTCCTTCTCTTTAGTTGTAGTTCTTTCTCTAGACATGGAGTATATTTTACATTCACTTTGATGATGTGGACCTTAGTCTAGGATGTTGTAGTTTGATGATTGTGAACTCTATGTTATGATTGACATGTTTGATTATATGTTGATTGGGTATTTAGCATGATAATTGAGAGTTCTTGATCAATTCTCTCAATTTTGCGACTAATTAACTTAGGAAAGAGAGGATCTCCTTATGTAATTTGGGTCACTATTCAATCATTGTAAGGGATCCATGAACGATGGTGATTGGTTTTTTTACGTCGTCCCGGGTCATCACCAGAGGGAGGGGATTTGGTTGCCCTAATCCGCCTAATCCGATTAGGCGGATTAGGACAACTTGAATAGGGACTCCTAACTAGCTTTGATATTCTAAAGGTATATATAATATGCACATTACGCTAGAGTATCAAATTATCGACTCAACACGTGACTAGAGGGATAATCATCTGGGTGAAGAATTCTCTCTTGAATTCAACCTTGTTTTATTTGCTTGTTTCTTTAGTTAAATAGCTTAAAACAATGTTTCTACCGCTAGATAATTTGTACTTTGCTGGAATAAGTATACATAAATCGTTCGAGTTTGATAATTCAAAAAATACTTGCTCTATATATTACCCCGGTTGAAGGTTCCACTTGGCCTTCAATTGGGAGTGTAGTTAGTACTGAGTGAGTCTTCAATTTCTATGTCGTTGGCTCTTGAATCCCCTCAAAATAAGTGAAATTATCTTAATACTAAATAGTGTTATTTTCATCAGAGGCTTCCCGCGCGATATTCATCGTGTATAGAGCAGTGCAGGTGCAATACTCGCCTACGCGGTACAAGAGAAGCTGTAAGCATTATAATCTAATTGGAATCACATCAATTTGATGAGCACTTCTACTATGCTATAAAACATTGGTGCTTTAATGTACAACTTGAAGTTTTACCATAACATTAAATGTATAATTTCATGTTGTACTATAAAAGTACAAATTCAAGTTGTACCATAAAAAAATATGTACATAACACTATAGGTACAATTTAAAGTTGTATCATAACGTTAAAAGTACAATTTCAAGTTGTACCATAAAGATAAAAACCTATAGCATCAATGTTATATAGCATTCTAAAATTCCTACAATCTGTATCCTTTCAAGAACGATTTAAAATAAAATATCAAAACAATAAGTGGTAATGATAATTCATGACCCCCTACCACCAATAATAATCATAATTCCAGTGATCTTTCTTGGGCCCTAGCAAGTAGCAACGACTCGTATGCGCCCTTTTCCTTAAAAAAAATGTTGTTTGTACTAAGGATGTCAACCATCGAGTCGATTTTGGTCAACGCGTTTTGACCTTGATTCGGTGAAAAAATCACACATACTCGTAAGGTCCATAGTTGGAGGATATACGACATCATATTTTTTTCTTTGGTTTGTGAAAAAAAAACATTTTTCCGCCTTCCTCTTCTCCAAAGCCTATCTTTGAAATTCTAAATTTAACATTTGAATATTGATGTTATATAAGTTTGTGTGAAGTTCACTATGTGTTGGATCCAAGTACGACCTATTATTTTGCTGTAATGTCATATATTATTACTGATAGATTTGATATAGCTTATAAATATATGAACAATATAATAATATTTTTCATATATTCAAAATAAACCGAACTACAACGATCAGACCGTTAATCCTTAACCCAGTTACTTAACCGGGTCAACAATCTAAAACGACCACCCAACAATTAGCGATATCACTAGCTAAGTAGTGCGTGCGCACCAACCTCGCCGTATTTCTCACAAATAAACCTTTTCTGTAATCGATTCACATAATCGAGGACTTACCCAAGAAGCCATCCATGACAATAATACTACCCACCTCAAGTCGTACTAGAAAATGCTCGTCTTTTTCTTGCTTTCCTCCCTCACCTTTGTTTTTGTGAGACCCCATAACAACGTTTAAAGGGTTGGTCTTTACTTTTACAAGATAAGTAGTGGGCTGAGCTAATTCAACATGTGCGTAGCAATAGCAGATGCTCATCGCTGCATAGGTATTCAATAAAGGAGACGAGGTTTGTTACGGTAAAAGAATTCGATGAAATGGTGTATCAAACTCTAGTACGAAATAGAATGATAATTCGAAAGAAATAGAATAAACTACTTTGCGTTCCAATCTTCTAATAATATTAAATTTGAGAGTGGATAGGTATTTTTAGGCATAGAAATTTCTCATTTCTCCTACACAAAATATGACTCCTTCTCCTACAAGAAAATAATAACCAATTCTTTAATAAATACTACAAAGCAATCCAAATCCTACTATGGCAATTAAACCAATAAACAATACTAATATTGCTAACAATAATATACCAATTAATTGATAGAAATTGATGAGCCCAGAAATTTCCAATTTATTATGATGGCTCGTCTAGTAACAATCCTCCCCAATCTTTCCTTAAGCGCAACATTTCCCTCAAGGTTGGTCGTCAGATGAATCGACCTTCCTTGTCATCTTCGCACGGGCCAACTACAAGAAGGACGTTAAGATTTGCGCATCGATGGCCAATGGTATACCTCTCGTCGCAATGGAAGCATAAACCTTGTGTCCTTCATCATGCCACTTCTTTCGGTGACAGTGGTCGTGTAGTAGGATTTTGTAGTGGCGTGGCTTTAGGTGATGCAAGCGCATTTTTTGACAGCCGCCTCCACTTGGGTTTAGGTGAATTTCTTGGTGTTCCACGATATTTGGCCTCTCGTACTTTTTCTAGCCTAAACATGTGTATCATATAAGAGATCTCCGGTTTAAGGCTAATTATACATGTTTTATCCTTCATATCTTGATTGTTTGACTTGGTAATTGTCATTCCTCGACCTATTTTATGCTAGGTTAGGTTCTGCTTCTTTTATTAGATTTCGTGTCCTAGTATGTGGAGGAAGCTCAGGGACGAGTTCCGAGATATTCGGGGGTCAAAAAGAGCCAAAAGAGGAGGATTTTCAAGGTTAACAGATCAGAGCAAATGTTCATTGCATGAGGGCGTGAACATCCCCCCAAAACCATGAAAACACAATTTTCCAGCAGAGCAAGTGCATCTCGCGGACAGGGTGCCACTTAACGGTTTGAGGGTGTATAATGTGCACTACTTTTGGTATAAATTGGCAGCTACGGGTTTTGAGCAAAGGGAGTTGGGTTTTTTCACCCAGAAACACCCAAGGGGCGATTTGAGAGAGAGAGAGAGAGAGAGAGAGAGAGAGAGAGAGAGAGAGAGAGAGAGAATGATTTAGTAGGATTCTTGGAGCTATTTTGGAGGTACCCAAACCCATTGGAGCTTGAAGATCATCTCTAGAAGATGAAGATTGAAGATCTTGGAGCCTATTGTATTTAGGGATGACAATTTTGCCCATACCCATGGGTATTTTACTATCCAACCCAATTGGGTTGGGTATGGATTCCAAATAAATGGTAGATGGGTAGAGTTTGATTGATTTGTATCCATACCCATTTACTTGGGTTGGGTTGGGTTTTTAACACATGGATTTGGGTTTGTACCCATGCCCAAAGACAAATTACAGTTTGGTACCTAAACTTAATAGATATGTAGGTTTAGTACCTAAATTTAATTTTTTTTGCATATAAGTCCTCAAAATATCGATGGAAAATTATGTTTTGGTACCTAATTTTTTTGGTCTTACATTTTGGCACCTAAACTTTTCAAGTTTTACAAATAGGTCCAATTTTTGTGTGTGTAGTTAAAACATCCTCAAGTAAATGGATATCTATATCCAACCCATACTCATTTACATTATGAAAGCAATATCCATACCTAACCCAAACCCATCTACAAACCCCCAAACCCATATACACTTCATCCAAACCCTACCCATACTAAATGGATCTATTTGGATTTGGGTAAAATTACCCATGGGTGTGTAATTGCCATCCCTAATTGTATTCTCTCTTCTTCTCTTTATGAATTAGTCTCTTTAACTTAGGTTGATGAACCCTAGCTCTAGATTTTGGTTTGATTGTTGATGTATGTGACAAATTATATGCTTAACTACTCCTATTATCTATTTGATTGATGTTTATGATGAATTGCTCTCTTGTCAATTTGGCTTTGACCTAGGAGAGAGAATATCTGTAACATCCCGAATTACATTTATCTTTGCGTTGCCCAAATTACCCTTCCCAATCATAATTGCACTACAGATGCAACCACCCACAACAAGCCTTTTCACTCCCATTCCCTTATCCCACCACTCTCGTGACCGCCATTATTAGTGTGACAGCAAGGTAGACAAGAAAATATATTATTTCCCAAACTCTTCACAGAACCAACAGCTAGGGTCTCTTCTCTCTTGTATAATATCAGTAGACATGAATGTACAAACCACCCTCCATATCTCCCTCTCGGTTCCAATCTCCTCACAAAGAAAACCAAGCATCACCGCTCCCAATTGGATTTCCTTTACTAGTCACAATTAAGCCCAACCACCACCCTTTTCTCTTCTCACCACCAGAGTCCCAATGGTAAGAACAAACAGCCATTGACATCCGTGCGAGATGCAACCGCAACTCCGCAAGATCCACGGCATCGATCGACCAACACACAAGTATTTCAGGACGGCGAATCCAAGCGATGGAGCCAGCAATTCCGGCTACGAAGGTGACATGAAGAGGAGTTTAGTGGGTAAGATTGACTATAGACGTGCACGATTTAAGATTCGATCACCATAGTTAACTAATGGACATCATTCTTGCATCGTAGCTTTGTCGGTCAAGGTGCGAGGTGATCGAATGACGATCTAAGCAAGGAATAGATTCCCTAGTGACTCTGATATAGCTCTAGGCACGAATACGAGGTAAGGAAGCTCGATCCATCGCGTTAAAATCGGCAATTATGCAAGTAATACGGGTTTGTATAAATCTGGAAATTGGCGACTGTATTGCAGGCTTTAGTGACGGTTCCTTAGCTGTCTCGAAAGTCTGGCCAATTAGTGGCAGCTCTTTTGGGACGAGCTGTGATAGTCCTTAGTGGCGATTAAATGACGGTCACTAGATGGAGCTGTAGCTTTTATGGTTTAATTGTCTAAGTTGATTATAAGTGTTGATTATGTATTGTCAAATTGGTTTGTAATTGATTTAATAAGTAATCTGAGTAGTGTACGAATTATGATGTTGAATTAACTTAGTAATTAATAAAATAATTTAGTTTAAGCTCATTATTTATTTGGTCTAATAATATAGCGAATGTTGTTGTTGAGTGGTTCTTTAAACAAGTTAATAGGTAAAGAGTACTAATTAATTTATTAGCTACCGAAATAGTGGTTTCGGGTAAGATGATATGATATGATTAACAAGCTAGATTAATCTATGTTAGTTAATGGTTAAATCAACTAGTTTATTCATTAGAGTGATGTATGTTATAATATGCGCTTCTTGAATCCGACTAGGTAAGTGAGCTTAGCATGATTTGTTTTTTTTCAAGTATTTAAATTGGCTAAGATCTTGAACTATTAGACCTATGGAGCAATATGATTTTTAGTATTTTTAATTGGTACGTTAATTAGCCGTACTTTGCAATTAACGCAAAGTAGTCCCACCGATCAAGAACCGTCGCTAAGAACCCGAAACCCAATCGATCTAACCTCGACTTTCGTCATAGGTTCGCCAAGGCATTTCACCCATGAAGAGCACCGATTTCTTGAGTTGGTGGCTAAATGATCAGGTCAGCCGACTTAAGCTAATAAGGTGCGTGGTTTGAGGGGCTAGTTAGTATTTCGCTTTAATCATGTCTTTTACTTAAGTTACGCTCATATGCTCTATGTGCATGTTCACGGTAAGTGTATTTATGTTCAGCAAGCATGGCATTGCATTCCATCATGAAGTTATGTTTTGAGCAAGATTATGGACTTACGTTCCATGTTACCAAGTTATCAAGTAAGAACATGTTTTTAACTACTCACTTGACTAGTGCACGCGACTACCCTACTTCCCGTCAGGTGGAAGTCAAGTTCAGGATTATGTTACTTCCCGCCAGGTGGAAGTTAACATTCATGTTATAATAGTGTACTTTCCGTCAGGTGGAAGTTACGCTCATGATTGTGTTACTTCCCGTCAGGTGGAAGTTACACCCATGTTATATCTTCCCATCAGGTGGAAGTTTACGTTTGGTGGCCGTTAGTGTGCTAGTTGAGTCGAGTTCGGGGCCCCCTTTCACAAGAATTAAGATGCAATTGATTTTAAGTATATGATCATGTACCAAGCATTGCACTAGCATCTTTGTTTATTTATTTTAAGCATATGTTGTCATGAGTTTTCACCATTAAAGCGAAACTAGGATTAGGACTGACCCCAACGCCCGCATTCAGGAATCATAGAAGCACATAAGCACGCATATGGATTTGACGGTTCATCATTGGCTCCAGAGCACCCCAGAAGGGAGAGGTTAATTTCATTACTTTAGTGGGACGAGAGACTTGATGTGATTTTACGATGAAGATTTATTAAGACAAATATCTCAAGGTTGTTCATGTTTTAAGTATTGTTAAAAGTACGAGGTTTCCGCTGTTGTTCAAAGCATTTTAATATACCATGTTGATTTTTTTATGTCTATTGTTTTCTTTAGTATTTATGACGCTTCCGCTATTTTTTCAATGTATTTAATGTTCATTGACTCATAAGGGTATTTTGGTAAAAGTAGCACCCTGTCGGGTCAGGGTGTTACAATATCTCCCAAGGTTCAATAGAGCATGTTCAATATTTAACTATGGGTCGTTGAATGAGTGTGATTTGATCCATAATGACATATTGAGTTTTGCTCAATCGTGAGAGTTAGTTGTGAACACCTCAATTGCCTAGGCCAGTTGTTTGATACGCCTCTTCGGGCAGCGCATGGTTGGATAACTCGAATAAGGAGTCCCACCTAGTCTAGAATTCTCCTTGTGGAAGTATCGAGTCAATGAATCTAGGGTAGTACACAACATGGGTCGAATTGAGGAGTTAAGGGATTTGTGCCTGAGTGAGTTCCCAAATTTTAATTAGCTAGAATAGTGGTTAGAGTAGTTTAGTTAGCTTAGTTTCTTAATCACTATTCTTGTTTGCCTAGAAACTAACCAAAGTTGAAGTAACTGTATGCCAGTTGACATTCTCATCTATGAGAGACATAGTGTTTGCGACCCAGGCTTCAGGAGAGGATGTGGCAGTAGCAACTCTAGGAAAGGCGTCAACGAGCACCACTCTCGGGATCCAACTACCATGCCAAAAATAAACCCAAGAACCGCTCACAGGATCAATACTGGCCACTTTTCAGAATGTATCATACTCCTTAGATATATTAGCTACGCTGATCCTGCAAACCCATGTCTGCTTCTTGCCGTACACCATTCCGAGGGGTGATTCAGATGTTCAATATTAATTAGAGTCCTCCACCAACTCCCACTTCCCCAACGTGGCTTTATTAAAAGATGTTAGATCCAAAATCCCAAGCCCGTCATGAGAAACATGGGCTTTGCCGATATCCCAGCTAACCAATGGTGCCTTCCGTGTTTCCCTTTTCCACTCCAAGCAAATCTTCTTTGAATCCCTTCAATTATGTTTATCACCGATGCTGGAGCTCAGAACAAAGAGATGCAATACACCGGCTGACTAGAAAGCACAACCTTGTTAAGTTTCAACCTCCCTTCCAGAGAAACATACCTACCCTTCCAACTTTTAAGCCTCTTCTGGTATTTGTCAATGATGGGATCCCACAGGGAAACCACATTTGGTTTCGCACCAAGCGGGAATCCAAAGTATTTGGAGACTTCACTACTCCAATTAAACTCAAAAATTGATGCAAAGACGTAAGGATTTGAGACATCACCCACTGTGTACATGACTGACTTCTCCAAATTGATACAGAGTCTCGTGACGGCTTGGAAGCACACAAGATAAGCTAAGATGTCCAAAACCTAATCATATGCCGCATTACAAAAGATCAAAGTATCATCCGCAAAGAGTATATGTGTCACTTCCCCATTGCCATCCTCTTCATTCATACAAAAACCTGCAATTTTCCCATTCTCTTTAAGAGTGGCAATCCTAATTCATAAAGGATAAAACATCCATAACCATAGCAAATAGGTCAGGTGACAGCGGATCACCTTGATTGAGACCTTTCTGAGCATCAAAGAAGCCTTTCGATCCCCATTAATAAGGACAACTAATTTCGGCATTCAAATGGTACCTCCGATCCACTTTTGTCACTGCTCAAAGAAACTCATCCGAGAGAGGATTATAAAGAGGAATTCTAATTGACTTTATCAAATGCCTTGTCAATGTCCATCTTAAACATCAACCCCAACTTCCTGCTTCTTCTGCAATTGTCAACAAGCTCAAATACAGTAATAGTTGCATCTCCAATATGTCTCCCCATAACAGAAGCCTACTGGTTATGGGAGACAAGATAAGGGATAACAACTCTAAGTCTACGAGAAAGTACGTTACTAATAAGCTTGTTAAAGCTTCCCATCAGACTAATCGGTCGCAAATCCCTTGTGTCCTCCACTGCATCCTTCTTTGGATTCAAGCAAATAAAAGGATGAGTAATACTATTATGCAAATACACTAAACTGTAGAATTTGTTGAAAGCAAGAACAAATTTGGATTTGACGCATGACCAACACTTCTTGTAGAATTCCCAAGTGAATCCATTCGGACCAGAGGCTTTATCCCATCACTATCCATGATGCTTTCCCACATCTCCATCTCCAAGAAAGGCTTGTTAAGAATCCACTAGTATGAAGCACTAAGCATGTACGTGAAGTAGTGTCTAGGGAAAGGATGAATGCATATCTGCCCTTGGTAGAGATCTTTGTATAATCCAACAATACCGATCAAAACATCCTCCATGCATTCCACAATTACCCCATTAATCTTGATGCTTCTGAATGATTCACGACCAGAGTCACGCCCGTGAGAAGGTCCCTGAAATCCCCACGGTCTTGAACCCATTCGTGCATGGTGTGGGATGAAGCTCACACCAATGTCGTCATTTTGAACTTAAACCACCTTCACTTTTATTCAAAAACAACTCAATCCATCCTAAACAAAAGAAGAACCAATTCGGGTTATCTCATGTTAGTACTTTTAGTTAGCGTCTTTAAGTTAGACGACAGACATGGACTGTCTCCCATGAAGCACTCTCTCTTTAATGCCATTAAGCTAGGCAGTGCTTCTGGTCTAAGTGAGAGCGTCATCCTCCATGTCGTCCGAAAGCCAACCATGGCCACCCCTATCTTCTCTTATGATATTGTCCTTGTGAGCAAAGCGGTCAAAATTGGGATTTTACGTAAAATAAAAAATAGGGGTAAAATCAGAATTGTAAAATCGAATCTTAAAATCGTAGGATTTTAAGGTCCATATAAAAATGAAGACAAAATAATATTAGTAAGGAAAATCATGAATAACACAAAAGCACATAACACTTACAATGATAATTTTCAAGGTTAATGTTCCAATTTATCAAGGTTAATGTTAAGAGTTGGTGAATCGATGATGATTAATACGTTGATGTGAATTGATTATAGTCAACGGTGGTTAGTGTGAGAGAACTAGATGCTGTTAGTGAAGGAGAAGAAAAAAGGGTTAATTTTGCAAATTCTGAAGAGAATAAGTAAAATTGACTCAAAGATTTGAATCGTAAGATTTTAAAGATTTAAATCGTGAATAGTGTAGGATTTAAAGGTTCATAGATTTTATAGTGAAATCAGAATGAAAATAGGTAAGTAAAATCATAAAAGCGTAGGATTTTAGGATTTAAATCGGGATTTTGAATGCTCTGCTTGTGAGAACATGTGGCAAATATATTGTGGAAATCGGGAGTGGAAATTCCTGGATCCCCTTCTTTCTCAACCTCGTGAGAGGTTCGAGTACTCCTAGGATCTTAGCTCATACCATTGCGGAAATGGCTTTTTAGATCAATGTGAGGTGGTGTCTTTGGATGTACCGATAAGGTGGAACTCCACCTATATCATGTTAGAGTCAGCAGAAAGGCTTGATGGATGTTTACAACTTTGTATTTAAGTCCACATGATCTTTCCTTTAGAGATTATGTTGACTCAAGAGATGGTCTTCCAACTAAACAAGATTGGCAGCTGATTAGGAAGTTGATGAAGTATTTGAAAGTCTTCAATGACTTGACCCTCCTAGTCTCGGGTAGGTGGAATTTGAATTGCATGTTTTGTTTTAACCATTTGACCATCTTTGTTTTTTTACTGTAATTTTCTGTGTTCTCTTCTCATTGTACAAGAACTAAATATGGATGACTACCCACCTCTTCTTCAAGAAGCTTGTTCCAGTCTATGACATCATTGAGGAATTGAAGAATGATCTACATGAAGAGATCCAAAGGATGGCAGAAAAGGTTGAGAAAAAGGTATAAAAGTATTGGTTTGAGACACATGTTATGAATGAGGAGAACATGAAGGAGAATCACTTAATTTATATAGCATGTGTGCTTGATCCTAGAAGTAAACATGATATGGTGTCCGAGGTTTTGGAAATGATTTATGGGAGAGTGAAGGGAGGATAAATTGAGAGTTCCATTACTTCGGAGATGCGTGAGATGTTTGAGATTTATAAAGGGAAGTATGGATCAAAAGTACCCTCCTCTGCATCTGAACCCACCACTAATGCGAGCATTGTTGGTGGTAGTTCTGCTGAAGGTATTGGTGATAGGATTAAGAAGCTTGAGGAGAGGCTCGGGAAGAGAAAAAGGGAAGCACTTCTACAGGAAATAGGAGGTAGCTCTATTGAGCTTGACATCTATTTGAAATGTCAAACTGATGGCATCAATGAGGAGAGTGATGATACCAAGTTTGACATCTTGGGTTGGTGGTCTCGACACTCTGAAATATATCTGATTCTTGCTGAGATGGCTAAGGATATCCTAGTTGTTCTCATCTCTTATGTTGCCTCAAAGGCAACATTCAGTTGCGGCGGCCGGATTTTCAGTCCATTCAGGTCCTCTTTGAGCGATACAATGGTGGAGGCATTTATTTGTGTCGAGGATTGGATAAAGTATCCAACTACCGGATCCAAAGAGATTGATGAGAAGGAAGATGATGAAGAGAATTTGGTTTTGAAAAGTGGTGAGTTCTAACACTCTCTTAATTACTTGTTGTTCAGGTTTTCACTATTTCTTTCCACCTAATTCATATTATGAATATCCTAACACTTTGTTTTATTTTTACTTACTCAATTAATACCACTTTGCAGTCTAGAATGGAAAGTGCAAGTGATACTGGCAATGTTGCCAATGCAGATGCAAGTCTCAACATTCTAGTGGAGGATGAGCAGGAGAGTGAAGAAGAAGTGCCCAAGTAAGAGTATGAGCAAGATGGATATGACGATTATGGTCATGACTTGTAGGGCCGATTGAAAGAAAAGAGTTTTGTAGATGTTGGTTCTTCTGTTGGTGTTGATAAGTGATGAATGATGATGATTTCTTGTTGACTTGTTGTTGCTATTTGGATCTACTATGATTTGTGACTTTATGAAGTTTATGACTTTATGTTGTTGAATTTGAGACATTAATTTCGTGATTTAGATTTATTTTCAATGCAAAAGGGATTGAGACTTTACTTTAGGTGATTTAGATGTAGAAATGTAGGTTTGAGTCTTTAATTTAAGGTGGTTTTACTGATTTTTTCATGCAGACGGAGCTGTTTCGCCTCGATTACCCGATTAAGACCGACCTGTAGGCACAATTTTGGTTACACGGCTAACCGAACGAAAAATGGTAATCGATCGGTCGGTGGTCGGTTAACCATGTAGCCTCTTTGGTCGATGGTCGGAAGGCGCGGGGGGGGGGGGGGGGGGGGGTTAATAGGTAACCGAGTTTTTGGTTAAACTGAAACTGGCCGCCCTCCAGCCCTATCCATAACAGTAGTCTTAGTTGTAGTCGCGGAGCTTTCAAGGAATCTCCATAGGAGTAGTGTAAGATAACGTAGATTCCCCATACACTAAACACCCTCGTTCGAACAGTGTTTGAAGAGGTGTGAACTGTAGTAAGTAGTAACAATCATCACTTTCATAAAAGTCAGGCGCAACCCATCCGCCTGTTTTTCCACCACTAACACTACTGTACTGATCGGTCGGTCCTAAAATATCAAATACTAGATTCAAACTAATAAAAGATTTCAACTATCAAACCACGAATTTAGTACAAAATATCCTACCAATAATTTTTTCCATATAAATCTCCAATAGAATTTCACAACCCTTTGTTAGAGAAAAGATAAGAAGAGCACATCTTCTCTACATAGGGCGATTTATATTCTTGGCGTCCATGCGGCATTCTCCCACATTCACTGTTGAGAACCGGAGTCCGGAACGGGAGGAAAGAAAAGCAAAGAAGAAAAGTGAGAGAGAGCAAAAGGAAAGGAAATGGCAGAAAAAGCGGCTATGGTATGACGTCAGCAGCATCCAGATCTTGCAGCCAACAGAAGCTTCCCCTTTTCCTCGCTCTTCCCATTTTCTTACCCGCAAAATTCTCTCTCTCTCTCTCTCTGATAAAGCAAAAGATAATAAAAGAAAAAATTCCTCCTTTTCCCTTCTTCTCATTTTCCTGGGAACCAAACAAATCCCCAAAGAGGAAAAGCAAAACCCCAAAAACAAAAAAATCGAAAATCAAGAATGAATTTGGAGAAAGAAGAACAACAGCAAGAGGCGCGGAAAGTAAGAGCAACTAGCGAATCACAATGAATGCCGACTCTCACCATCTTCGCATTCATCCCTACTACTGTTTCCTCCTCTTTCTGATTTCGTCTCTGCTCAATTCCGCTTCCGCCGCCGACGCCATCCCCGCTGTCGGCAGTGAAATCCCCCGTAGAATTCTCCATCAGCCATTGTTCCCGGCCACTTCAGCACCACCGCCATCCTCCGTCGCCGACGATTCACCTCCCTCCCTACCCCCACCGGCCGACTCCTCCACTTCCCCGGACGAGCCCTTCTTCCCCGAAGTCCCAGCCCCACCTTCCCAGGATCCAACCCAAGCCCCGCCGGCGAGCTCCTCCGCCAATGCCACCGTTCCAATCCCCACGGCCACGCAGGCCCAACCCGCCAAGCCCGTCAAGAAAGTGGCGATTGCCTTCTCCGTCGGGATCGTCACTCTCGGGATGCTCTCCGCGCTCGCATTCTTCCTCTACCGCCACCGGGTCAAGCACCCGCCCAGAAGAGACTCCGACAAGCTCGTCGTCGGGCTCGGGGATGAGAATTCCCGGCGATTCCCCGATCCTCCTCCGCCGCCGCCTTCCAATTTTTTGTATATAGGGACGGTTGAGCCGAGCAGGAGCTCCAGCTCTGAATTGACGTCGACTAACACCAACAACTCGTCTCCGTACCATAAGCTCAACTCTATCAAGAGATCTGATCGGTATCGACCTAGTCCTGAGTTGCAGCCGCTGCCGCCATTGCCGAAACCTCCTTCCGCCGCAGCTGCTTCTTCGAATCTCCATCCTCGTCTTCCTCCTCGTCCAGTCTCTACTGCTGCTGCTCCGAGGCCAGATTACGAGAGCTCCGGATCTCCGACTTCATCATCGTCTGGTGAAGAGAGCAACAATGGCACGCCGTTCTACACGCCGGCCGGCTCCGCCGTGAGCTACGACGACGGGTTCTACACTCCGGTTTCGGGCTCTACGCGACGGCATTACTCTAGAAGCAACGATGGCAGCTCGTTGAGGTCAGTCAATGGAAGTAATAATGGTTCCTCTGTATCTGTTCCTCACTCGAAGAGAACTTCCCCCAAATCGAGGCTTTCTTCCTCTGTTTCTTCTCCGGAAATGAAGCATGTGATTATTCCTTCAATTAAGAAGCCCTCATCGGAGCCTCCGCCTCGACGGCCGCCGCCGCCGCAAGAGAGTGGAGCTCAGCACAACGAGCAGTCGTATCACTCGAAAAAACCGAAATTCTCGGGGCCACCGCCGCCGCCGAATATGGCACTCCTTCGATCGCTAAACGACTACCCGCCCAGCAAAACCACCGCTCCACCACCTCCTCCGCCACCGCCTCCTCCTCCACCACCAGGTACAATTCCGATTCCGAGAAAGGTAAGAGAATCTCTATCGCAAGAGAAATCAAGCGTTTCCTCCACAAAGACGCAGCCGTGGACACCGAGTCTCAAGGCGAGTTCGAAAATCGACTCGTCGAATTCGACAGAGCAGAGTAGCAGAAGCGGCGGTGGTGGGGGGTCGGCCTCTGGAGGAATTGAGGAGGACGAGAATTATGATGGTTCAAAGCCCAAGCTGAAGCCTCTCCATTGGGACAAAGTACGGGCAACCTCAGATCGTGCCACAGTGTGGGACCAGCTGAAATCCAGTTCGTTCCAGTAAGCAATCACTAATAGAGAGAGAGAGCTTCATTAATGGTGATTTGCTCGATTCCTGTATTCTCTCTAACTGGGTTTTGCATACTTTTTAGATTAAACGAGGACATGATGGAGAGCCTCTTTGGTTTCAACTCCACCAATTCTGCTCATAAAGAGCACGCAAGGAAACCAGTTCTGCCACAAGTTGAACAGGAAATTAGAGTTTTGGATCCAAAGAAGTCACAGAACATAGCTATACTTTTGAGAGCATTGAATGTGACGAAAGATGAAGTTTCTGAAGCTCTTCTGGATGGTAAGTATCCCTTATTTAGTTTCCATGATTGGAAAATGTATATGTTTCGGGGTTCTGGTCTTTTCCTGCTTTCAGCAAAATCATAGTGTGTGTCAATGGAATGGAAAAGTACTTGACTTAGTTATAGGACAAAGAAGGGTACTAACGAGAGAAGCAGCAGAAAAATGGCAAAAAGAATGTAGAAGGCAAATTTACTGTTGGGTTTTACTTGATCTGGCACTGGCACCTCAAAATGAATCCAGCAATCATCTGCGCATATCAGTGCTGGAAGGCAATTGATCTATCGTTAATATTAGTACTGTCCTTTTGTCATGTTAGTGGAGATTTTTTGGAATTATGTTTGCTTAGTTGTTATGCATGTCCGATCTCTGAAGTTAAGCGACAAATCTACCCAACTGCAGAGAGCTTTAATAGAAGCTAACAGCATTGTCATCTTAAGAAATTCGACTGTTATAGAGAGGGGATTTGTTGCTCATTACTACAATGATGTCACTTCCATCATTGTTTTATTTTGAAAATGTGTATCACAAGCTTCTCAAGTTTGGTGTTCTTTCTACTGCTCTATTTCCCTTCTTACTCATTCTGCCTTGTATTCATCATTAAATGTTGCATCTATGAGATTTTATTAAGGTAAGATTTGATAGATACTTCTGTTTAATGCCCGTTGTCTTAACTTGCTGTCTTTATAGTGCCCGGCCAAAAAAAACTTGTCCTGTTGCTGATAAACTATTATGGTCTAACATGGAGATGAAGCATCCTGTTTGTTTGATTCCTAGAGGTTTTTGTCTCCTCTTACAGACTTGCTAGAGGAGACTCAAAAAAAGCCATATCACCTCTCTAACCAAACAAAGTTTGATTTGGCTCCATCTTGAACCATGTAACCGGATAACATAACGAAATTTCGTGGCAGAGTTCCTTAAACCAAGTCATGAAGTCACTCTTCACTGAGCCTTGATGTTTTATTTGTTTCCTGTTTCGTGTTTGGTATATGATGTGTAATATAATTACAGGTAATCCAGAAGGCTTGGGTGCTGAACTTCTGGAAACTCTGGTGAAGATGGCTCCAACAAAGGAAGAAGAAATAAAACTTAGGGAGTACAGTGGTGATATCTCTAAACTAGGCTCTGCAGAAAGATTCCTGAAGGCTATTTTAGATATCCCATTCGCTTTCAGAAGAGTTGATGCTATGCTATACCGAGCCAATTTCGACACTGAAGTTGCATACCTCAAAAGATCTTTCCAAACCCTGGAGGTCTGAATTTTTTTTTCCCCCGCCACCTTTCTTTCTTCCTATATCATGTCCACAATAGTGAGTCGACTAAAACTAACTAAAACCCGGTTTGTGTTTGTGTTTCCAGGTAGCAAGTGAAGAATTGAAAAACAGCCGGTTATTCCTCAAGCTCCTCGAAGCTGTTCTCAGGACAGGCAACCGCATGAATGTTGGCACAAACCGTGGCGATGCCAAATCGTTTAAGCTCGACACGCTATTAAAACTTGTAGATATCAAGGGAACTGATGGTAAGACGACATTGCTCCACTTTGTAGTTCAGGAAATCATTAGGTCAGAAGGCACTTCAGGTTCTGGTCAAGAAGAAGAGAACAAACTATCGAAGATGAAGGATGAGGACTTCAGGAAGCAGGGATTGCTGGTTGTATCTGGATTGGGTAGGGACCTCGGCAACGTGAAAAAGGCAGCAGGAATGGACTCTGATGTTCTAAGCAGCTACGTGACGAAGCTCGAGAAGGGACTCGAAAAAGTGAGGTCGGTTTTCCAGTACGAGAGACCGGATAATACCATGCAGGGCAAGTTCTTCCAGTCGACGAAGCAGTTCATGAGAGATGCAGATGAGGTCATTGCAACGATCAAAGGCAGCGAAAGGAAAGCTCTGCTGCTGGTGAAAGAGGTGACGGCGTACTTCCATGGAGATACGGCAAAGGAGGAAGCCCACCCATTTAGAATTTTCATGATCGTGAGGGACTTCTTGAACATACTTGATCATGTGTGCAAGGAAGTAGGGCAGATGCAGCAGGATAGGACGGTGGTGGGTTCAGCTCGGTCGTTCAGGATAGCTGCAACGGCTTCGTTACCGGTTTTGAACAGGTATAATGTGAGACAAGATACAAGCTCGGATGACGAACACAGTTCTTCTCCTTGATTGATAGAGTGTGCAGAGAGTATTTGGTTCATTTTTCTTTAATCTTTGGAATTCAAGTAACCGGATGAATATAGTGCTTTGTTTTCATTTCTAATCACAATCATCAACGTTGAGGAGTAGTAGAATGAAAGGGGTGACCGGAGGTGGTGAATAGATAACCGGGGCTGCTGCTGCCACTCCGAGCTCGCGCTGAAAGATGCCATAGATAAGATTAGACGTGTGTTTAATAGATGAGGGTTAAATACAATTTCAGGGACAGAGTGCTTTGTTATCCCACATGCTGTTGCTGCATTTTTTTATACTTGTTACTAATAAATCATAGCTAGTTTAGCTAGCAGCCTTCCACTGGTTCAATGTTTTTGTTATCTGGGAGTGAGACTGTGAGCAATCTGCTACAGTAGGAAGATGGTGAGACGTTGCAGTTTCTGGTTTTGTTTTGTATGCATTCTGATTTTCCCAAATTAAGATGGTAAGAAGCATTGGCGAGGTTAACGTGAACGACCAACCAATACCAATGAACTGTTTAATTTTGTTTTCTTCCGAGATCACGATCAAAGGTTAATAGGGAAAGCGATTTGCTGCCGGTGGAAGGCAGCTATTAAGCAAAGCAATTAATCAGCATGCACCCCATCCATATCAAAGGGTATCCAAAGTCGAAACCCATCACCCTCCAATTTCATTATTTCCGTCAAAAACATCTTTTTCAATCTGTTCTTTCAACACAAGTTGATCAACCAACCCTGCCCAAGATATTTCGTAAACAATCAATAAATCAACAATTTTGATTTTTTTACCCTTTTTTTGGTTTGTTTTGTTTTGTTTTGCTGAATGGGACAACAGAGTTTCAGGTCCATTCTTCTACTGCTACAAACAAACAGGACAAAGAGATGGAGGGGTTGGTTCACAACTCACACCACATTTACAATTTGGTGCAATGCAACACTTTGATTTGGTTTTTGATTCGTTTTGGGGGGGCTCAGCTTGGTGTTTGCTATTCTTCATTCTTGGTCAGAATTTGGAGGAGGAGGAGGAGGAAACCAGGAGTGACAAAAAGAAAGGGGATCCTCCAATTGCCTTGGCTCTAAGTATGTTCTTCACTAGTATTCTCCACCTAGTCTCGTCCTTCTTGCTTTGCTTCCTCATCCTCTCCTTGAAATTCCTGCAACAACAACAACAACATTACAACCCTTTTCCATTTCAGCCCACCAGCTCCTTACCAAAATTATATCCACACACACATGAAACAATAGTAAGTACCTGCACAAAGGAACCCGGCAGAGCGAGGAATCGGCGCAGAGGCGGGAGTGGAGCTCAAGCAACTGCCACATCCTCTTGCAATGGCTGCACCCGCCTGGAACCCTCAGCTTGCACCCCGCGAAATGTCGAACCAGCTGCTCCAGCCCTCTGCACGCCCCGTAGCTGCACGGCTGCTGGTTCTTCTCCAAATCCCTGTCGTGCGGCCCGATCGTCCTGCACCCATCCCTGCATATGTGCACCAAAGCCTCCATCGCCTCGTACAGTTGCAGATATATCTTCCTCTCTTTCCCCCTCCTCACCCTTTCCTTCTCCCTCTGTTGTAACAAAACATTCAACCAAATACCCAAAAAAGAAATCACAATCGGAACAATGCCCATATCACACCCAAAAGAAGAAGAAGAAAAAACTTGTTATTCCAAGCAATACTACACTACATACAAAGTATCATGTACAAATGTGTGTATAGAATTAGAGACTAAATAAAGAGCATTTCGTTTGGAGGGTGTTTCAGCGGTCGTTGATTAGGAAATGCAAGAGAAACGGGAGTTGGTCTGCTGATCTTACATTGTCTTCTTCGACCATGGACTCCAGAAGCTCTTTCTCCAGGACCGGATGGCTCTGCTTCATGGCCCGCCATCCCTCTGTCCCTGAGATCTCCCTGAACCCTTTTATGATCATTCTATGGCAAAACAGGCTCAGCCTCGGCGCGTCGCACAGTAAAGCCAGCTGCAAGATGTCCACCACGTTCTCCGTCGTCAAGAACCCTCTCTCCAGGCTCTCGATGCAGATCTGCTTCAGCTCCGGCACCACGAATACGTGGGAAAGAACCAGCAGATGCACCACGAATTCCTCCATCTCTTCCTTCTCGTAACTGTAACAGCGCAATCAACTGATTTCTTAAGCGATTTTCGTTTTTTTGAGCAACAACGGATTTCAATTGGAGAAAGGGTATAAGTTAGAGCTGAGTACCAGGAAGAGTAGAGGAACCGGATGAAGGCACGAACGGCGTCATGTGGGACGCCCTTGACGGAGATTGATTTCCGGCCGTCGCTGCGGGTTTTCGCCTGCTTTAACATCCCTCTTAGCACCGGAGAAGCCATTCCCTGTTTTTTTTTTTTTTTTTGACCCCCACAACATCGTTTGATTCAGTTAATCCAGCGAATGGCGGAATGATTGAGTTTGCAATTTCGATTTCAGGGTTTTCTTACGAGAACGTTGGCGTGAGCGAAGATGGGAACGTCATTGCTGGTGAGGATTTGCACGTCTGATCTGTAACCTTCGTCAAAGAGGCGCTCCCATATATCTCTCGTTGCTCTCGAAACAGGGACGTGGGTAGCGAATGACGCTTCCGGCGCCGGGCCGGTTTTTGGACGGCAGTAGCTGGTTGACGGCGGAGGGGGGAACGGCGGTGGTACCGGACAGGTTTCTCTGGCCGATGGGTTTGGCTCGTCGGCTATTGAATCGGACATTTTTCCCATCGTCGTCGGATTGTAGAAATGGGTTTCAGCTGCAAATCAACAAAAAATCAATCGAATCATTTTTCTTTTATAGGATGATCGGCTCCAAAATTGAGATTAAAAAAAATTGCAAATGTTTCTAGGAAGATTGTCAATTTCGGTTTTTGTCCAGAAGTGGGGATGAATATAATCAAAGTTTTTCTTCCAATTCATAGCGGAGTTCGTCAATCCCCGTCAAAACAGAGAGAAACCCATCGAAGACCAACGAGCGATTTCCTTTTTCCTTACCTTGACGGCGCCGGGGATTAAGGAAAGCAATCACAGCTGGATGTGGAAAAAACGCGACGGTTTCTTCAACCAGATGAGCCCAGAAACAAAGACCACAGACAGAAGGAAAGCAGAGCAGAAGAAGGAGGCGGAGGAGGGAAAATGAATAATGAGTAACGAGAGATTCCTTCTTCCTCTTCGTTGGTGTTCTTCGTAGCCCTCACAATGGCCAAGGAAATCAGAGCAGGCGAGCCAAGAAAAGGGCAAAGGCGATTGAAGGAGAGAGGTAGGTGGATGGCCGGCGGTGACTCGCCGGACCTCCTCTAGTTTCAAATCTCTCTTTTTCTGATAAGTTTCTCTGCCTTTCCGTCTCTGTGATTTAAATGGCAAACCTATAGACGAACCCCCGAAATCCAATTGGCTTTCCTTTGGGTTTTATATACAAAAAAAAATTTACAAAACCGAAAGATCTGTCGTGGCGTTTGATGCCCGTGTTCCCACCCGCTCCTTTTACCCGTCACTTTCCTCCCTCCAGCCGTCCTTATTTTATAAAATATAATTCAGATACCTATTTTTATCCGATGATAGAAGAATTAGGGCTAATATTCCTGAATTTTGTAGCAAAACATTGTTTTGATTCCAACTTTTCGAAACCTCTGAATTTTTAAAAATAATTCACCTGTTTTGAACACAATCTTTCGGCTCACATATGGCTATACGAGTTAGCCACACTTTTTAATTTTTTTTCTATAAATTTAGCTATTTTCGTCAAATACTTTAATATCGTCTAATACTCCGTCAATTAAGTGGACGTTAGACTGACATGGATGGCACCTTGATGACATGTCATGTCCAACTCAACTCTCCAAGCCATATGGATGCCACGCCATATTTTGAAAAGCAAAATGACAATGTGATGATATTAGAATGAATATATAGTTATATACTATATTATAATATAAAAAGTAGACATTTATTATACCACTTAAATTTATCACTATTATTATTTGTAGATAGCTACAATATTTTTTTTTACAACTTCATTATGGTATGCCATAAAAACTGTTTTCTACGTAAATTACTAATTGATTACGATTAGCCCGACTTGGATGAAATCCCGCAGCTCATTATCATAGATAGTACTAACTCTAGTGGTAACAAATTTGGCAAGTAAATTATAAATTGAGAACCATATATGTATAAGTACTAGTTATTAGCCCGTTAATACAAGGTTATTTGTTTTTAAGTTAGGTCCGTCCAATGTAGGCTCATGTTGGTGTTTCAAATTCCAAGTCATGATCCCAAATGGTTAACATGTGCGGAAAAATGATTTTGTCCATTTTATTTATTTGATATATATATATATATATATATATATACATACACTATTTTGACTTTTGAGTGAGCAAGAGCAAGAGAGGGTAGCTAGCCAGCCACGCCAGTACAATAATATCTGTCCGTCCGTCCAATGAACGTGAGTGAATTATAGAGAGGATAGATAGAGACGAAGGAAATGTGAGTCAGGAACACATAGGACTCTAATAGGCGTCGTTGACGTCTCCGTCAGCACCCACTGTGTCTGTGCATTTGCTCCCCAACAACACGCGCTTTGCCTTCCGCGGCCACGACGACTAGGGATGGGGGATGGCAAGTGGCAACAAAACTCAAACTTACGAGTACCCAATGCAGTCAAAAACACGATTCTATCTAGAAGCGGAAAATGGGTAAAATCGTAAAGCGTAGAATCAAAGCGTAAAATTGTAAATTTTTTATGCATACTGAAAAAATAACTAAAAATGTATTAAGTAGGACATATGCTATGCAAAATATGAATGCACAGAATTTAGATAAGTCAATAAATGCATGCGATTCATGCCTAAAGTAGAACAACTTATAGCATCTTAATAATAAGTTTGTAAACATAAATTTTAACAATAAGCCACTTTTCCCACTATGCTAATGAATTTGGGAAAAGCCTAACGGGTGAATTAGATTACTCTATCGAAGTTGAGAATGCATCCAAGTACCTTATATGTATCTTTTAATCTCAAATGTATCATATTGTTGGTGATTTACTTTTAAAATATACTTTTCATAATTAATTTCATGAAAAGAATACTCATTTAGTGAACTAAAAGCGTAAAAACGTAAAGCGTTTTGGAGAACTAGATGCGTAAAACCGTAAGCTTTTAAGCTTTAAAGCGCAATTTAGTTCGATTTTATACACTTAAGTTTTTATGTGGAAACAAAAGCGTTTTGGTGACCTAAAAGCGTAAAATCGTAAATTTTAAGTTTTAAAGCGCGATTTTGACTGCATTGCGAGTACCCACCCGATCCAATTCAGTCAATGCAGATAAAATCCGTGTTGTCGGGTTTGGGTTTAAACTTTAAATCCATTCACTATTCACCGGGTTGGATTTGAGTTTAGGTAAACCCGCCCTATGGGTGCCCGCGCACACCCATATAATTAATTTTCTCGGTATATTTTATATTCTAAACAACTAATCTTATTTATGTTTGTGGAGACATGTCTAATTTTTTCTTTCTAATTGTGTAGAATGAAGTTGATGTTATCGAGTGGAGAGTGAAGAAACTTAATTGAAAGGAAGAAGCTTTCAATTAGTTATGTTATTTATGGATAGTTTGTGATTTGCTTCAATTTTCTTGAGTTTTCTAGATTGGTGTTGAACAATTTGTATAGTTAATTTGTGATTTGCTTGAATTTTCTAGAATGGTGTTTTATATATGGATAATTTGTATTGAGAGATTGATATTTGACTTTAATTTCAAAAGGAACTTGTTATTGTAAATTTTTTACGACAAAAACCCGAGGGTACCCATGAACCCGCGATACCCAGCGGGTTGGGTTGGGTTTGAGTTTTCCAAACCCAGTGGGTTTTATCCGGGTTTTTTTCATGAATAAACCCATGGGTTTGGGTTTGGGTTTGGCAAAACCCGACCCAACCCGACCCATTGCCATCCCTAACGACGTACGAAGACCCCTTTTTTGCTACTTTCCAATTCAAACAAAATCTATATTTGAGGTGGGTGTGATATTGTACTATAGTAGTTTGGATGGGTATTGGTATCCCAATATCAAATATCAAAATCATGAATACCGAATTATATTCTAAAATTAATTCTAATACCAATTCTTAAATACTATTGGTATCTCAATCCCAATCCCTAAATATTTTGGTATCCCAATCGGTACTTCGGTATCTTAATCGTATCATCTAATACGAAATTAATTATCTTTGCAATTAATAATAAAATATATAAATTAGATTTGATTGTTTAAGTTAGGACAAACAGACTAAGAAAAGAGTCTTGAGTTTACATAGAGCTAGAATATGGATAAGGAGAATGGAGGAGAGGTGACATCCTCAAATTCTTGTCATTTGTAATCTTTAATTTGACGAATTGGAGATTAAGATACGACTAATACCAGTGTTTGCTTTCTGGTGTTATGAAAATAACAAGAGATTAGGTGAAAGATGAGAGTAACTTAAACTGGAAAGTCATAATTGAGTTGGATGGGGACTTCTAAGTTGTGAAAGAGTGACAAATGACCAAAGATTGTGTGATATATTTCAGTAATTTTTTGGTATTTCAGTATATATCGATCACACTCCCATAATCCCAAACACCGAATTGCACTCCAAAATGAATCCCAATCCCAATTTCTAAAAAATAAGTCAATATTCGATAATACCAAATAGTGATAAATTCGGTACGGTATTCGGTATATACCAAATACTGGTACCAAACTTTCAGCTCTAGATGGATTAACTGATAATGTAGATTGTGGTATTGGTGGGCTCATATAATATATATATATATTTTCAATATGTGGTATTTATGTTGCTTAATTGAAAGATGAACCATTTGTTTGTTATATGGTAAAATGAACAAATGTGTTTGTTTGTACTTTTTCTTAAATTTGGAAACATTTTATGGAAGTTAGGAAAAATACATGGAAATGACCCTTTATATAAGTTTCTATCTGATTCCAACCAGCTTTATTAGTATGAGGTCATTTGGGATGCCACCCAAAAGTAAATTCGTATGAGCTTGATCAAAGCAAAAAATATCATACTAGTGGAGTTTGATATGAACAAATATGTTTGGTAAGAGTTTAGAAAAAAGTAAAGTTCATTGAAAATGAATAAAAATATTTGAAGCGAAAATGGATATTTTTATTATTATATAGAAACATAATTGATGGTATGATTAACGTGTTTAATAGTAAAATAGTGAATGAAAAGTGAGAAATGCCATTATCAACCATGCTATTAAACTAAATCTGGGAGGGCAATTCTTATTCCATATCACCCTATACCATGAAACTTGGCAATCATGAACACGCATAGCATCCTAGACACTACTCACATGAAACTTTGTCTGAATTTCCATGTTTTACAAAACCAAGGAATTGACTTGTGGAAATTGAAAAAAATTCACGTTTGGATAGGGTTTAGTTTTGTGGGAATTGATGTTGTGGAATTTGGAAAAATAAGTGAGAAAACGTGGTAATATCAAATTACTAGGGGGAGGTGTAGTATTGTCAATTTCCATGAATGTGGTAATTGAAGCCAATTTCCATGGTCCAATTCCCATACCCTTTTTGCTCTCCCAAACGTGGGTTTTTAACCCAATTACTGCATTATGTGGTAATTGGGTCCAATTACTGCATTACATTTCCACATCCAAACGACCTCTGACTTCATTTCCCATAGCACGTCATCACCCCTTTTACTAATTAAGCTTTATCCCCGTGACCTCTGAGTTTTAATACTCTTCTTCGCACCCAATAACTATTTGGATTTAGTTTAAGTGATACTAAAGTTCCATCACCACATCTATACAACTTCATCCATGCCATTCAAATAGTCCCAGATTCCATAAAAAAATAACCATAGTATAATTCCCACACGAGCCACATTCTATGTCAATAAATCTTTGATACCTAGCCCACCTTCTTTCTTAGGCTTTGCAACTCTTTCCCAGGCATTTTTTGCTCTACCTTCCCCTTCCCATGACAGAGAAAGTTAGAACAATAATCCAACAAAATGACCCCTAGAAATATTTCACCGATATATTTTGTGTTTTTATAATAGCGATCCCAATATTAATAATCAAGGTTTACGAAGGCACTAGGCGTAAGGTGGGCGTTAGGGACTTGCTTAGAGCCTAGCTCGTCTAGGTGTCGACTAAGCATGCCTAAGTATAGGAAGAAAATATAGCATTTTATACTACATAAATAATGAAATAACAGTTTACAACACTTTCACTTTTTCTTAAATGATTAATAGTTGTTTAACACTTAACAATACGAAAACTAGCTCACAAGTTCACATAAATCATAGCTCAAAACTCAAAAAATTCTTGATTTATTGAAATATTGGCATAGAAGATTTAATTTGTAGACGAGACTCATTGTCCCATTTGATATTAACTACCTTGGTTTATCTAATTACTAGGAGACACCTAGTTATCAACTTACTTCGTCGACGT